TCCACTCATCTACTGATGGACACTTAGGTTGCTTCATATCTTGGCTATTGTAAATAGTGCTGTGAGAAACATACGGGTGTTTTTAATCTGAGATCTTTCTTTGGGTAAATTCCTAGGAGTGGAATTCCCGGGTCAAATAGTATTTCTATTTTTAGTTTTTTAAGGAACCTCCATATTGCCTTCCACAATGGTTGAGCTAATTTATATTCCCACCAGCAGTGTAGGACGGTTCCCCTTTCTCCACATCCTCACCAGCATTTGTTGTTCCTAATTTTGGCCATCCTAACTGGTGTGAGGTGATATCTCATTGTGGTTTTAATTTGCATTTCCTGATAATTAGCAACATGGAGCATCTTTTCATGTGCCTGTTGACCATCTGAATTTCTTCTTTGGAAAAGTGTCTGTTCATATCCTCCACCCATTTTTTAATAGGGTTATTTACTTTCTGGGTGTTGAGGCATTGAGTTCTTTATATATTTTGGATGTTAACCCCTTGTCGGATATGTCACTTACAAATATATCCCCCCACACTGTAGGATGCCTTTAACAAAAACAATTTCATAGGTCACCAGCATCAGACAAGGCCACTCAATGACTGTGATGGATCAAAAAACAAGACCACTCGGTAATCATATCTGAACACAGACAAAAAATGAACATGGTCCACACCACAACCCAGACATCCCTGTACTCTGGCTAAATGAATGGAGGTCACCTTGCCAATCAGCTTTAGCTTCAATTCATTCCTCTTCCCTTCGAGATTTAAAGCATTAAGATACCCAATCATAGCATTACGCCTGCTCTGTGGCAGCTTCCAATCCAGAGCAAAGCTCTTCTCCCTGGAGCCCTTCCAAAAGCACCTAACACCTGCTGACAGCCCTCCAAGTCCTTCCTGGCAGCCTCTCACTGAGACGCCCCTTGCTTTCCCAAGGAGTGTGCTCTCCCTCATTGCGACCAGCAGGAAGTCCATCTCTATTCAGGTGTGCTTCTGGTGGTCTTTGGCTGGGAGGCACTGACAAAGTCCTAGAACGACTCAGCAAGCCATGTCTTGCTAGCTCATCTTGTTGATGCCCCTGGAGCTGCAGGCCAGGAAAGTGTCAGCCTCTGATGAAGCATGACGGGTGGGAGAGGAGCCCATAAGCTCTGTGTGTTCCCAGGAGGCCACGTTCCAGGCTCTCCAGGATGGAGAATGTTAACCCCTGCAGCACCTGCCAGCCCTGTCCGCCACAGCCTCAGTGAGATCCAGCTTCACGGAGCAGCTTGAGTGCAGCCCAGAGGGACAGCTCCTTCTGCTTTGTGCAGCCCAGACCTGCTTGGAGCCCAGCTGGGCTCTTGGGCTCCTGGGCAAAGGGACAGGGGGTTCATTCTCCAAAGCAGCTGAACATGGAATGGGTCCCCTCCTGCTTCCCCACCAACAAAGGTTCCATGAGGCAGGGGTGGTCAGGGAGGCAGGGACCCCTGGGAAATTCAGATGGCAGGTGTCAAATGTGCTTGAGACTCCCAGAACTTTTCATTTAATCTCACTGAACCCTGGGACACTGGCAATCATTTATCTTAGGTACCAATATCATTCCCACTTTCCAGAGTCCTAGAGAATTAAGGCATTTGCCCAAGGTTCCCAGTCCCTAGCATTTAGCAGGCATTTGCTGAGTACTTATTGAATGACTTAGTTGCAAGGGGGAAGTGACTTGCCCAAGGGCATGAACAAGGTCAGGATTTGAAGCCAGGTCTGATTCTGAAGCCTCTTGGCTTCAGTGCCTCAGCTGGGCTTACTCCGCAGCATTGGGCCGGACAGACAAGGCACGGCTGGCATTTGCCCTAGGGCAAATTACCTGTGTGATGTGGCCCGCCTTCCAGGGCCCC